GCCCCTTTCCTCAGTCCGTAACAGTGCATTTCCACATGGACCCACATCGCAGCACCCTTCCTCCAGAGGAGAGGCAGGCTTTGGAAACCAGCCCTGGCGGATGGGTTTGGTCCTGCTGTGGCTCCGTCTGTGACACAGGCGTCCACTTCCGAGTCCCCACAACTTGAGCAGACACCCACCTCAGACCCGGGACTCTCCCCTCTTAGCTCTCCGTCAGTCCTCTTCCACCCGCACCCCCATCCCCACCCACCTGGGCTGTGCTCCGTGGACTCCGCCCACGTGGTCCAGGTGGAGTCACCACCATTACGCTCTTTTTGTGCCCTACAAACCTGTGCGAGGGGCTGAGGAGGCGGCTCAGTACAATAAGCGCTTCCCTGAGAAGCGCAAGGGTCTGAGTTCAATCCCTGGTTCCACCAGAAAAAAAACCAAACCTGTGCAGTTCCTTCCCTTAATCAACAAGACCGCATTAGTAAGATCACCACGCTCCTGCCACTGTGCGAGGCATCCAGAAGGTCATGAATGTTGCATTCATCTGTAATCTAATTAGTGAGAAACGACTAGTGTGCCTGAAAGTCACAGAGCTGTGCCTAAGGTCCGAGCACAGGACTCGGTTTCCCTCAGGGCAAGAATTAACCCACGGCCTGCAACAGCCTCTGAGTATGTTTTTTTGTAAAATGAATGAATGGAAAAGGCTAGCGTATCAGAATGGTTTCATGGAAAAGTGAAAATTTAGATCCTGAAGGTTGGCAAAGGTTGGGGTTGATGTGGACAAAAAGGGGCAGGGGTCTGCTTCAGTGGAAGTGACCACAATGCACTGAATGGAACGAGGACTTTTTTTCCTGATTGGACAACACGATCAAGCTGGAAAATACACTTGGCTCTTTAGGCAGAATGGAAGGAGTTTGGCCTTGTGAAATAATTTTAAAAGGTTCGGTGAAAGGTTTTTGTCTGTGTGCGTGGATGGGAGGGTGGCAAGGGACAGACAGTGTTTGAATTATCAAGGCGTGGGGAGCTCATAGAGGTTGAAGCGAGGAGAGCCGTAGGAGGGCAGCATTGTACGGGCCGTTAGAGCAAGGGCAGGTCAGTGCGGAAAGGTGGGCAGATACAGCAGAAGGTGTTTGGATGGACAGTGCAGCCCAGGACCAGCATTCTCTGGGGAAGGATGAGTCCAGCAGAACTACAGGGTACCTGACAGTGTAAAAAACTGAAGATGGTTTGGGAGAGGAGAGAAGTGGATTGGGCAAGTGCATACAGGATAACATGCCGTCCAGTTACCTTATTTGAGCTGAAGGGTGGAGAAGGCATGTTAGGGTTGTATCCGCAAGCACAGAGGTTGTCAGGAGATAGGGCTTCAGTGGTGGCTGTTAGCTTCTCTCGTGAGGTGCCAGGTGGAGTCCTGCCCTCACAGCTGGCGACAGCCTGTAACAGCACCAGCAGCAGCGTCAACTGAGTTGTTTCTAGTTCGTGCATTCTCTGGAGAGCTAGAGCCACGGTGAATGCTGCCTGGGTGGGTGGCCGTGTGGGTGTGACGTGGGTGGGGTCTGCGGAAGCACGCGCTGCTGATCACAGGGTGTGCGCGTGCTGAGGGTCGCGACGCCGAGCGTCTCCTGGTGCCTGCAGAGCTTCACTGTAGCTGAGATGAGTTCTTATTTGCCTTGCGTAATGTGAGCTGCACACACATCTTCATCAGGCAAAATAAGTACCAACATCTCAACGTGCGGCAACACCTACCAGAATCTCCGATGTGAGTGGAGCCATAAATCCTTCGTGTTGTGAATAAAAATTATAATTGTGTTTCTGCTGTGATGGAAGTTCAGTATCCATAAGATACTGATTTTTCAAACGGCTTTAATCTCAGGGTCTTCCTGGCTGACGTGGGCAAGGTAGGAAGGATGCTTTTCCCTCAGATGACTGATTTGCGAAGTTAGCTCAGCCTTTATGGTAGTCAGCTTTCAGTTGCTGTGCCAGAGTAACTAAGAAAATCAAATTCAAAGTAGGAGAGCTGGTGGCACATCCAGGGAGGCTGAGGCAGGAGACTCACAAGCAAGGCCTGCCTGGGGTACACAGCAAGATATTATCTCCCGAGACTCATGGATTCAGAGGGCGCAAACCACAGTCGCAGGCCCCTGTGTCTTCTGGCCCGGGAGAGGGAGAAAGCTGCTTGATTTATGGCAGCCAGGAAGCAGAAGGGACCGGAGACGAAGTATCTGCCTCCCGGGCTCTGCTGGTGACCTTCCCATAACTGGGACAGAATACCCCACACTGACAGCTTGGAGGAGGAGGGTTCAATTTGTAGTTGACTTAAGTGGCATGGTGGAGAAAAACTGCTCAGCCCACTGCAGCCAGATAGTGAGAGGGACAGAGACGGGAAAACCAGGGCCACACATACACCCCAGCAGGTCAGATCTCCAGGGAGCCCACTACACCCCCTGAAAGCACACTGAACTCTGAACTCCATGATGGCCTGGTCCCCTAATCAGCATAGTGTTCCCATAACCCAGTCACATTCCCCAAACCCCACTTCTAAGCACACGAGCTGGGGGCTTGCAGGATCGCTCAGCCGTCTAAAGCACCTGCTTGGGCAAACCCAGTCAGGCACAGGGGACTGCGGTTCGATCTCCAGCACCACATGTCACACCAGACCTACCCTGAGGCAGCCTGAGCCAGCGGGGGAAAAAAAACCCCTGCCTTCTAGAGGATGCTATAGATCTAAGCCCCGACATTCGGCCCCAGGTCCCTGAAGACTCAGGTCCATGTCTTTATGCAAATTCATTTAGTTCGTCTCTAAGAGTTGGCAAAGTCTTAACATTTCCAACAGTGCAGAAAAAGTCCGAGTCCAACGTGTCCTCGGAGACTCCAGACAAACTCTTCGCTGGGAGTCCCTGTGAGTGAAAGCGCTGCCAACCTGCAGCGTTACATGGCATTCCCATTCCTAAGCAGAAAGGGGGGCGGGATAGAAGGTAACCAGACCAAGCAGAGCAAACAATGAAAGTCATACCTCTCGGCTCAGTGCCAGGCAGGTTGTAGTGAGACGTGAGCTCCCGATAGCTCGAGCAGCTGCCCCCCTAGACACTGACAGCCTGCTCGGGGGTGCTCTGCACACTGCTTCTGGCCCTCCTCAGTGGACAGCTACCTTGCTGGCATCTCCAGCTTCCTGGACTCTATTCTGCACTTCACAGTCTCACACGTGACCCTCTCTGGGGCACGTAGCGTGGCCTCTCAGGCCTTCCAGAAGTCTGCCTGACCGCATAACTGTTGCATTTGGCATGCCGGAAAGCCAGCACCGTATGGATGATGCCAAGACCTACCACCAGCTCATGCAGTGGCTGCAGGTCCCTTTGGGCCCTGGGTACAGTGGCTCCTTAGCTCCTGGATATCTGAACTTGAGGAAACACTTTCCTAAGTGGCTGTGGATGAGTAGGGCCAAGTCTTCCAAAGGAATTTTTGTATTTATATCTTTGAGATTGCAATGAGTGGGGTCTGGCCATTTCTTCTCGTTTTCAATGTAAATCTGGCCAAAAGTAGCCAGCAGTATCAGTGCCAAACCCTGAATAAGGAGCTGGCTTAAAATTTCCTCCAGATTAGTCTACCACTCTTAATCTCAGTTTCCTGCAAAATCTCAGAACATGGGCAAAAGTAGACAAATTTCCTGCCAGGGCATAACACGCATGGCCTTTGCTCCAGTTGTCGGAATTCCCAGCTGAACCCTCCTGAGGCTGAGCTTTCCTGTTTTCCTATCAGCATTCTGGTCTTCTGAGCTCTGGCTGGAGTCACCCATCAAAATCTTATGTATAGCACTCTAGGACTTCTCTGGTCTTACCTCAAGTCTTTCTGAACCCCTCCCACAGACCAATCCCGGAGGCTTCTAAACCACGTGACCTGGCACAGTCACAGCGGCACCCCACTCCTGGCACCAGTTTTCTGTGTTGGTCACTTTCTCATTGCTGGAACAAAATGCCCAGCACTACGACTTAAAGAAGGAGAGCCGGGTGCAAGGCCAGCACGGGGGAAGGGCATGGCAGAGCAGGGCTGCTCAGCTGCTGGCTGCAAGAACGGAGCAGGATCAGCCAGAGTCGAGAATGTGCCCACACACACCCCACCTGCAGCGACACCCCAAGGAGAACACGCTCCTAACGGCAGTCAGCCATGAACTCATCAAGGGGTTAATCTGCTGATGAGTACAGCACTCCATGACAGTCACCTTCCGAAAGTCCCAGCTCTGAACATGTGATTCTTTTGGAGAACTTTTTGGGTTTTTTTTTTTATGTATTTAGTACAAGGTTGTAGATCGGACTCACAGTGACTCGCCTGTGTTCAGCCTCCCAAGCGCTGGGATTACAGGCATGCGCCACCCCGCCCCGTCTCAGTTGCCATCTCAGTGCATCCCGGGGCAGAGCTGGCACAGCACACGGGATCAAACCCCAGCCACTGCACTCTGCCTAAGCAGGTGCTTTAGTCAGCCAAGCTATCTGGCTAGTTTCCTTTGGAGAACATTTTAAATGTAAACCATTATAAGCACGTCTCTAGTGATGTGCTTACACCAGTGAAGCCCTGCTTCCTGAAGATCCCACCTCCCGGTACCCTTTTAAGTTACCAGTCCATACATGTGTGAATCTGGACGGAATCAGTGCCCTTACCCGGTCAACACCTCCAAAGGCACAGCCTTTAGAGAGAGCTGCCCTGGCGACACAGACTTCGCTTCAACACACGAGGTTTGGGAGAGCACTTAAGTAAGACCCATACCTAATAGCCCGTGAGTTTTGGTATCTTAAAAGAAATTTTCCATGTTAAGTTTTAAGATCAGCTTTGGATGTTATTACAAAGGATTGATTAGTGCCCTATGAGAAGGCCAGAGGACTGAATTATTTGTGAGATGGACGCTGCCTGGTGTCATGCCATCCTGCTGTGTTGAATAGTCATAGCTGCTGTGGAAAGAGGAAAACAAACATGAAGAGTCGCACAGAAACAGACAGGCGTCTGCCATTCCTTGGTCTCCACAGGCTTCTTCCATCGGGACCTGAAGCCCGAGAATCTGCTCTGCATGGGGCCAGAACTGGTGAAAATCGCAGACTTCGGATTGGCCCGAGAGATCCGGTCCAGGCCTCCCTACACGGACTACGTGTCTACTAGGTGGTGAGCACTGGTTTTCTTACCAGTATTACTTGCACTTCTGTGTAAGGACATCATCTCATGAGAATGAAGCTAGTCATAAACATTGAATTATACACGAGTGCAGACCGAGACACTCTGGTAGGTGTGCTGGCACTGGGTGAGCTTAAAGGCTCGTGTGGTAAAGAATTTTAAAAGGAAACTCATTATGTGTTTCCAAGGTATAAGACTTTATATGTACATCTGCCCAATAACGTTTTCCCCCAAAGAGGTACGTAAGCGGTTCTCTGAAGGTCTGTGTGGAGAACCCTCTAGTTACTATTGTTAACACTTTCAAACCCAAGGAATTGATTTAAACCGTCTGCCTGGAACAACCAGTGACCCTGCACAGGTGTTCTGTCCTTCCCCTGCTTTCCTGTCCTCCCTCTTCCAAACCATCACTCTCTCCATGTGTCTCAAAAATGCTGCAGCGAAGACTCCTGTAGAGGCGCGCTCGGCACGCAGCGGGTGCTGTGGGGAAGCGCCGCTCCGTAGTTTCAGCAGCAGCCGTCTCAGTCTCCCGGCCCTCCGAAGTCCACGTACCTCACTGAACTAGGGAGAAGGCAGATGCAGATGCATGAACTCTTGCTGCAAATTGCTCTTTATTTAACTTAATTTCTGACCAGTGGAAACAGCGCTAGCAGCTAACTCTGTTCCTCCAGGTACAGGGCTCCCGAAGTGCTTCTGCGGTCCACCAACTACAGCTCCCCCATTGACGTCTGGGCTGTGGGCTGCATCATGGCGGAAGTGTACACCCTCAGGCCGCTCTTCCCTGGGGCCAGTGAAATTGACACGATATTCAAAATTTGCCAAGTGTTGGGGACACCAAAAAAGGTATGAACAGAGGCGTGTGGGCTCACGCCAGTGGCGTGCTAGGTTCCCTGTCCTCCAGCGCTGGGTAGCACTGGTGTTTTTGAGCAGCTGCCTGTTCTAGACGCCTTCTCCTGAGCTCGGCCACCCTCCCCTCCCGCATCCTCAGGTGTGGCCGCTTCTCTTCTTCCTTCCTCTCTTAAGTGGGACTTCTGTCATGGCCCCCTCTTCCACTCTATACCATCTCCCCTCCTCTGTAGAGCCTCTCTGTTCTTGTAGATACAACACCTCAGACCTCTTCAGAAGTCACCACGAGGTAGTATGTAGCCACCACATCCCCATTTTACAACTGTTTGGGAGTTTCCCTCCGACCCCAATGCTCCTACTGTCACCTCAAAGTCTATTCATTTAAAATAGCATTTTAGCCAGTCCTGGTGGTACATACCTGTAATTCCAGCACTCGGAAGGCTGAGGCAGGAGGGTCCTTGTGAGTTTGAGACCAGCCTGGGCTACAAAGTAAGCTCAAGATTGCATAGTGAGACCCTGTCTCAAAAAAATAAAAATATGAAAAACACTGTTTTTAAAATAACTTTTCCCTTACCATGCAGCGTGCTTCATTCGTCCATACTCATTTGTCTGTGGTTCCTTCAGAGTTGCAAAGGCCAAGCTGTTTCTTCTGTTTGGTTTTGTGGCCCCTGGAGGCGGGACGGGTGTGGCCTGTGGTTCCAGGGATCTAACCACGGTCCCTGTGCTTACCTAAGCTTGCCTGGGCAGGTGCTTTAGACTGAGCTAGCTCGCCGGCTGTTTCTATTTTGCCTTCCTTCCCTCTCTTTGCCTAAGCTGTTGGTCAGTAAATCCTGTTCAGTATCCATCTTCGGTGATTAGACTCCACTTTGAAAACGGTGGAGGCGGCATTGTGTCAGGACGCATGCTGCACGGCCCGGGTGAGAACCGGCAGGAGCTTCAAAGAGCCCTCCCCGGTGTTTTCCAGGTCCCCGCCCCTGCCGAGTGTGACTCTGGATGGGCACCCCGGCTAGATGGGGGGCAGTGGGGCACCCCAGCCGGGAGCAGCTTTCTTTCCTGCTGGTCTTCTCAGCATGTGTATTTCGAATCATAAAGTGGGATATAGGCAGAGGTTTAGAAATTCCTCTGAGCAGGAACAACTATGTTATTTTGTTTTCCTAAAAAAATATCTCATTCATGGTTTCTAAAACTTCTGCCTCATAGAACACAGTTGGGGAAATACTAGTTTGCTTCAGTCCCCAAATCCAAAGGGAGGACCATGTTATGTAAGGGTCGTAAACATGGCGGTGACAGGTCGGGCCTTTCCTGCTGATTCCCTGGCTGCACACCCTTTGCAGCCCCTTCATGAATACGGCCCGTGTCTCATCCCACACACTGGCGCTGTGGTGAACGTGGGAGGGCGATGACCTCACCGCCTTCCCAGGAAAGGCACGCACACGGAGGATGTCTCGCCAGCAACAGGGCGGGCTGCGCAAGGTTTGCTGCCTTCTCTTCTTCCAGACAGACTGGCCTGAGGGCTACCAGCTTTCAAGTGCCATGAACTTCCGCTGGCCCCAGTGCATACCCGGTAACCTGAAGACGCTGATTCCAAATGCGGGCAGCGAAGCCATCCAGCTCCTGAGAGACCTGCTTCAGTGGGATCCCAAGAAGCGACCAACGGCCAGCCAGGTTTTCTTATAGCTCCTTTTATTTCATTTCTTAGGAAACTCATATCTAATTCTGAACAAATTTTATAAATTACATGGGAAATATATATGGGACAAGAAGTTAAAGAACTTTGGTGCTTACTGTATATCATCAAAGTATTTAAGTTTGAACAGTATAGGTGCTGTAAAAAGTAATATACAGTTTACACAGTACATCACCGTATATAGGAAAATGAAAATTGCAGATCAGTGTTTGGAGAATTTTTAAATTTTTTTTATGTATTTAGTACAGGGTCTACCGTCTTACTACGCAGCTCACACTTGTAGTGATCCTCCTGTTTTCAGCCTCCCAAGCACTGGAATTACAGGCGTGCGCCACCATGCCTGTCTTGGTCACAGTCTCAGTGCACCCCAGCGGCGGGCCGGTGCAGCACACCAGGGATCAAATCCTGGTTGCTGAGCCTGCCTCAGCAGGCACTCTAGTCTGCTGAGCTGTCTGGCTGGCCCTCTGGAGAATGTTTTTAAATATATTCTCTGTGAATGAAGATTCCACGTGAACCTGGAGTCGTTTGTATCATCGTAGAGGTCTTGCAGCAGTCTGGCCATCAGGTAGTGCTGGCTGTGGAAAGGTGACTTCTTACCTTGTACAGGTCACCTTGCTCGCCATGTGGGCGACTTGGGAGGACGCTGAGGCGCAGCCAGGCGACACCTGCAGCTGCACTCATAGCACTTTGCAGCCGGCTGTACTGTGCTTTATGTGATTTTAAGCTGGTGAAGAGTCAAGATGTTTTTATTTTCCTTTCTGTAGGTAAGAAAACAGTCTAAGGAAGTTTGAGTTAAGAGATTTGCCCCCGTAGCTGGTACAGAGAGGGCAACCAGCTGCAATGCTGGTGTGGAGAAGCGGGGCTTCCGACGGAGCCCCTGCTCCTGAGGTTAGGAAGGCACCCGGATGAGGCGTGCGCCCGGCCGTTCACGAGCCTCCCCTGCGGCGCGTGTCTCCGCTTGTCTCAGGGATGACCGCACTGCTCAGAGGATCAAATAAGTGACCAGTTCTAATCAAAGGTTTTTGGCTAGTGAGAGTGGTGGCACTGTATGAAGACAGTGCAAAGGTGACGCGAGAATTTGTGTTGCTGGAGAGCTGGCAGCTGCAGGAATAATCAGGGCAGGTAGAAGGCGTTTTCAAAGGTTCAGGGAAGTAAGGCCCAAAATCTGTCATAGGCTCTGGCTGGCTCAAGAGAGTTGGACAGTTCTGAAATGAACTTTTCATAATGAAATTTGGAAATGGTTCCGGAGCAGAAAGGAAAATTCCTGATGAGTCCTTAAAGGATGCACATGAGAGACGAAAATAAAAGAATTCTATCACAGACAGGCAACCAAGAAAATAATATATGCTTTTTAAAATAGTGTCAGAAAGCTAAAAATACTCCATATCGTTCTAGACTTGCAAAAATGCCTGGGACTGCATAGAAGGCGTCTCCAGTTAGACACTGGGGTCCAGGGCTCTTACCACGACCCCCGCCTTACAACACTGTAGCTACGCTTGCTTTTATAAGCATTGCCGATTCTCATCAAGTAATACTATTACTTTTCAGTGATTCTAAACAGATACAGGAATATAGAAAATATTTCGGAAAGAACTATAAACCCTAAGACTTGACTGTCTCCGGCTATCCAGAAAGCCTCATTGTCCAAAGCGCCTGGCACTAACCCTCCTCACGAGAGGGAAGGGCCCACTGTATCATGTAGCATACGCTCGCCGCGCTTCCGGGGCGAAAGCAGGTGGACCTGCCTATCTCTAAGTGCTTTCTGTGTCTTCCGGTATCATTACCTCTGGCCTTTCTTATATTATTTTTTTCTGGGCTCAAAAGGGTGACATATAAGACACACAGCAAGTTACAAAAGCTGGGTCTTGTGGAGCCAGCAATGTCTCCAGAATAACGTTGGTCATCACAATGCAACTGGCTCTTTATACAAGTAACGTAAACGTTGACCCCATTATGTCAGCATCACAGCGTGCAAGGTGAGGACACAAGGGCATTGCGGAGTCAGGTGTGACCTTGCAGCTGTCTTAGGTTCACCTCTTAGTGCTCCTCAGATGGCTCAGCGATTGGGGTGACACGCTCTCCCCACATCATTGTCATCTAGGCTCTGCGCTACCCCTACTTCCAGCTTGGGCACCTGCTGGGCCTCACCACGCAGAACCTGCCAGACTCAGGAAAGCCGCCGAAGGACATCCTGGAAAAGGCAGGCCCACACATCAAGCCAGTCCCTCCTGCCCAGCCCCTGACCAAGCCACATGCCCGAATTTCTTCTCGGCAGCATCTGGCGGGCCAGGGCCCTCCTCATCTCCTGTGCCCCTACAAAGCAGAGGCCTGTAGGACAGACGCCCCGAGCCACCTGCAGGAGGACAAGCCAAGCCCGCTGCTCTTCCCATCTCTCCACAGCAAGAACCCTCAGTCGGTGAGTGTGGACAGTTCGCCTGGGCACTTTGGGTCTCCCTCGTTCCCTTCTGACCACACGTTTTAGGTCAAGTATTTCCTTTTCAGGGAACAAGGCCTAAATATAACACATTTATCTTTGCAGTGCCAAAGGACTGTGAAAGACCCCAGGTGTAGCTCTAAATTCAAGCTCTCGCTCCACCTCCTCATAACGGTGCCCCTGGCTGGTAGCTGGGGGCTGGGGCTCAAATCTCAGCTGGGCTGCTCAGTAGCTCTATGACCTGTGCAGGTTCTAGGACTTCTCTGTCCTTCTTATTGTCTGGATGATGAGGATAAATGGCAGTAGCACCTGCCCGACGTGGTCATTTGGGGACTGGGTGAGTTAACACTTGAGAATCTAGAAGAGTCCCTGGCACGGACTTCGGGCCCAGGGCCAGTCACTGTTCTGCTGACCGCTGCTGGCTCAGGGTCAGTCTGCGTCCAAGGATGGTCAGGTACACATCTTGCCCACACAGGGTTGTTCACGAGGGCCGCAGATTGTAACATGTGTGATGATATTTTGAAAATCACAAGGTGCTAAATTAATACTTGACAGATTGCTGTTCATACTGCTGCTGTACATGGATGTTAACACGGGCTGTCAGGTGCCTTGCTATTCTTGGGCTGGTTTTCAGAAGGAAACAATGAATGTTGGCTTGAATAGAAGGATAACCTGAAGAGATTACGCTCGTCATAGCTTCATAATGCTGGCTGTCTGACGCCTTGAGTCCTAGCACTTTGGGAGGCTGAGGCAGGAGGATCACACGTTCAAGCCGAGCCTGGACGATTGAGTGACTTAGTAAGACCCTGAGATGGAATGCAGTTCAGTGCCAAGGCACCGGGTTTAATCCCTAGTAAGCAAAAAACAAAACCGAATTTCAAAAACCTCTTTTCTGTCAGCTGGTGCCCGCTGTGTGATGCTACCCAGCACATTGTGGCGCTGCTCCTCCAGACCACGTGCTTCATGCCCACCCCACCCCCATGCTAGGCAGTTAGGTGTTCGTGTCCAGATCCCCTGGAAAGGCAGGGACAGCCCTTTTTATCTTGGTTTCTGCGAGTGAATGAGATAGCCAGATGTTAGCTCTCTCCCTCATCTCTGCTGTGACGTAGACATCCTGTTAACACTTCAGAATGAGGCCCAGTGAGAATCAGCACTGTGGAGGGGTGAGGAGACGCCCGCATGTCTTAGGCCCTGTCCTATGCAGCGGGTACACTCAATGCTGACAACCGGGGCAGGTGGGGCAGAGGTGGGGTGTAGCTCCCACGGCTGCCTTTTCACATCAGTGCTGCATCCTGGAGAAAGGTGGACCTAGGAGGGAATTGACTCATGAGTGCCCTCCATTAATATCCAGAGTTGACTCTCCTCCCCTGCCAGCACACACAGAAAATCCTCGCTGGCCTGGAGCCCAGAAACGGTGAGATCAAGCCCAAGAGCAGGAGAAGGTGGGGCCTCATCTCCAGGGCCACGAAGGATTCTGACGACTGGGCTGACGCGGATGACTTGGACTTCAGTTCCACTCTCACCAGGGCTGACCTGAAAAACAAGAAGAGACAGAGTGAGGATGCTCTCTGCAGGCAAGTGCCGCTTCTGTGGCCGTGGCCTTTGTGGAGACTGCGTCCCCCTGCCCCTTGTGACAGCTGCCGTGTGTTGTCTCACTGCAGGTTTGAGAGCACCCTGGACCTGCAGCCAGCTGAGCCTGTGGGCACAGGAAGCAGCGCGCCCGCACAGAATTCCAGCCAGCGGCGTGACACGCCCACGCTGCGGGCGGCGGCCAAGCAGCACTACCTGCAGCACTCGCGCTACCTGCCTGGTAATGTGCACCACGCATGCCTCCTCTGGGCGCCCCCAGTCACAAGGGCCCGGGTTCTGTTTGGGGAGGCAGATACTTCCAGATTAGTGCTTGTGCTCACTCCGTGCACCCACCTAGGTAGTACCAGGTCACTCCTTCAGGGAAGACTGCAGGAGCTGTCCATGGCTCCTGAAATGACATCCTTCTAACTCCAAATGATGCCAACTGCTACGTTTCCTGCTGTCTGAATGCAGGCTGGCTTCTACCCCCATTTCTTGCTTATTTATTTTTGCAGGAATAAAAAATGGGACTGTTATAGGGCCAGCCAAATAGCTCAGCGGATTAAAGCACCTGCAAGCAGGTACAGGGGCCAGGGGTTTGATCCCCGGGTCTGCCGTATCGGCCCCGCCCCTGGGGTGCACTGAGACCACAGTTGAGACTGGGCATCGTGGCACACGCCTATAATCCCAGCCTATAATCCCAGCTCTCAGAAGGCTATAAACAGGCGGATCACTATGAGTCGGATCTACTAGTGAGACCCTGAACACCCTGTAGACCCTTCCCTAAAATACAGGGGAAAAAAGGGGGCCTATTTACTTCATTGCTTAAGTCAAAACACTGCAGGAAAGGTTGCCAGCAATTTCAGAGGCCTTGCTCTATACCTTTGGGGCGATCGGGGAAGCCACCCTGCCCTATGCCGGAAAAACATGTGATACAACCAGTGGCAGGCGCGCGTAAGCTTCAGAAGCGTCGTCATGATATGTGATAGTGAAAGGTTGGTTGAGCACATAGTCTGCAGTTTTTTTATTATTATTTTTTTAATGTGTGTGTGTGGCCAGCTCAGCCCACCAGGGGGCGGGGCTGGCTGGCATGTGGTGCTGGGGGATTGAACTGTGGTCCCTGTGCTTTGCTGAGCTTGTTTTAAGTAGGTGCTTTAGACCACTGAGCCATCTCACCAGCCCCTAGTCCGCAGTTTTACAACAGAAAAGGTGCTGTCTTGAGTGTACTGGGCCAAACCCGGGAAGGCCCCACAGGATCTCCGAGTCTACGCAGTTTTCAGATGGAAACAACAGGCCCGACCTGTTACACGGCCCGCCTGCGGTCATGGAGCAAGATGCTGCACTGGCTGCGCTAGAAGAAATTGTTGCTCGCTTTTTTTCTTTTGTCTTTTTGTGACTGTACCCCTATGACGTTCAAGCTGGCCTTGAGCTCACTGGGTAGCCCAGGCTGGCTTGGAGTTTACTGCAGTCCTCCTGCCTCAGCCTCCCAAGGGCTGAATTATCTGCTTTCCAAAGTTTCTTTCTTTAGGCTGGGCGTGGTGGCGCACGCTTGCAATCCCAGCACTTGGGAGCCTGAAAACAGCATCACTACAAGTCCAGTCTGTGTAATGAGATCCTCTAGACCCTGTACCAAATGCATTAAAATTTTTTTTTCTTTCTTTTTTTGGTTTTGTTTTGAGATAGGTTCTCACTATGTAGTTCAGGCTGCCCTTGAACTCACTGTGCAGCCCAGGCTGTCCTGGAACTGGCTTCAGTCCTCCACGCCTGCTTTCAGGTGGTTCTTAAAACATATATTATCATTTGTTTAGAACTTTCACCTTGAAGTCTTGCCTCTTAATTGTATCACTTACTGATGAGTTATTTTCTGCGATTATTCACAGGTTGTACTGAGTGGCTTCACCAGATCTGAAAACCACAGATTCAAAAGTATGGCGCACAGAGGCAGCTAACGAGGAAATCACAGTTTTAAAAAACTGAATATTCAGGCAGATTCAAACTATTAGTGCCAAACACGCCATTGACCTTTCATCATAGTTTAAAAATATTTTCCAGTGTCTCGCTGGCCCCACCCCCAGGCACACTGTGCTGGCCACCAAAACTGGGAGTGGTGGCGCATGCCTGTAATCTCTGTGCTGGGGAGGCTGAAACAGGAGGAACATTGCCAGTCCACACTGTGTAGTGAGACCCTGTACCAAATACATAAAAATAAATAAATACTTAAAGATATTTGCCAAAATACCCTCTCGGTGTTGGAGCACCCTGACTCCCCAAGGGCCCTATTTTCCTGGTAGAGTCACAGCACAAGTGAGATCGGTTACATTTGGGGGGTCACACCAGTTATTCCGTGCTCAGAACTTCAGGACTTTGACTGCCAAAAATGGAATAGATAAAAATTTTGTTCACTGGGACTAATTTTTTTTAGATCTTGATTATCTAGGGGTGTGTGT